GTGTTCCATTAGAAAAAAGTTCGTTTTTGTCGATAGTTCGAGTATGCGACTGGCAATTGTTGTTCTGTTTTCACAATTTTAATCAGCGTAAAAAAAGCCCCCCTAATAACCGACCTTGTATCTCTTATAATTACCAAGTTCGCAATAGTACATAGATACGATGTGTACTTATGTACCATTCGTATATGCGGTATTGTGACAGTCGGACGTGATACGGTTGCAAAATGGACAATGCGCAATTTGTTCCAAAGATCTACCCTTGGAAGGGAATTTTATAACTTGCAGTCCATGTGGTGGGTAAATTCTGTTGTATAAACTACGACATGCCGACGATTCATTTACTTGCAGTAATGTTGGGTCATCCTGTATGTGTCTAATTTCAATTAATTAATTTGAGTTGAATACAATCCCGATCATTTAGTATGAATTTGAAGTCATTGTTGATTTTATTTAGAATTATTTACTTAATGATGTCTAATTTTGTATAAATAATAGAATTTTGGTTTTATTTTATTCTTCATTTAGAAAAAAAAATGCACGTTTGGAAATTTGTTGTCGCTGCATAAGCTAATTAGTTTGAAGATAAGCACGTTTCGGCGGAAAGAAAACGCAGATATTTAATTTCGAAAACGCAAATTCAAGTAGAGGAGAGACGGATACTGGGAGAGGGAAGAATGTTTTATATAGCAGAGAAAGACATGCACCGTTGCTTTTTTTATGGTGGACGCTGAAATTTAGCCGCTTATGATTTTGATGTTTTGCGCACTTTTTTACTGTAATTTTTTCGGATATATCATTCTTTATTCTCTCTGCGTTTGCTAATGTTGCCTGTATCATATTCTTTAACTTTCCGCTTATTTCCAACTCCGTGAGTGCTTCGTACATTTCTTTTCTTTATCGTAGGCTTTTTTAAAGTCAATTTTAGCTTTTACGAAATCGATAAACGGTATATATCCACCTATCGGTAACTGATTTCTACATCAAACGCTTTATTCGAAATAATTTAGTTCAATGCACTGAAAAATTAAATTTTAATTTACAAGTTCTACATAAAACGTAAAACGTAATCAATGGTCAATTGAAACAAATATTTACAGAAATATATTGGTTTTACCTTTATTTATTTCAAATGCTGAAATTGCTTTTCAGTCCTCAATACTAGCTATAAGCCGAGGGTAAATCACTAATTGCGTCCCTAGTTACAATACGAGTCTGTAATAGGTAACTATGTCATATTATATTGAGCATCGTGTGAATTACCGAAACCGAAATCGGTAGTGGTTCTAAGTGAATGGTCTTGTAATAAAAGTAAGGATTTAATTCACGTTAACTTATTAATATGCAAATTTTGAGAGCTTCTCTTGAACAACCCAATACAGGCAAAACAACACTCACCCCGAATTTAATAAACAACATTTCGCTGTACTTGAAAAATATGGAAGGCACAGGCCTAAACTCATTTCGTGTTCAAAGTTAGGTATGCGTAAACCTCTTTCTATTATGTGTATGTTATTGTGTACAATTTCTAAGCTCTAATTTTTCTGTTTTTAGTGAGGCAACTTTGTCGAAACTATTAGTAACGTTTCATTGCAAAAATTTTCTTCCTTTCAACAAGCAGTAGTTATTAACTTTATTAGCCAACGTCTGTTAAATTTTAAAGAAATTTGGGGTGCCTATAGGGTGATATGGGGAAGCGAAAACGTCCTATTTTGGTTTTGCTTCATAACCATCTTCATGGTTGTTGAATGTTGATAGTGTCAAAAGTTTAAAATAGCCATAACGGCTTGACAAAATTTGTTTTAGTTTTTTTCGCATACATTGGCCAAAATGGCTTAAAAAACTCTACAAAAAAGTTCATTACAATTTTTTGAGAGTTCCTTTGTTTTTGAGAAGTTGAATTACAAAAAAGATGTGTCTTGATGAGATCTAAAAAAAAGGCTTCTATACTTTTTTAGTCGGCTTCAAAATAAAGGCGGTAGAGAGCACTTTCTAAATGTTATACTATGACCAAGGATAATTGCAATGTCTATTAAAAGTAGTCCGAAAGTCAAGGAGTTTACCTGACAACTAGTTTCTAATCAGTCATTATTTTTAAGTAAACTTTTACTGCCCAAAAAATTGTTTTATGGTTTCAGGTAACAAGTTGCTCCTGGGATCCAAATTTTGGAACCATCGAATTCAACTGTACTTGGTGCACCTCTCACTAGTGAAGCAATTAAAACAATCCTTCGGAAGAAAGCACAAGATTTCAAAACACTGCCTTTTTTGGGGCCCGAAAAAAAAATTGTCTCAGATCGACTCGGAAAATAATTTTCTTATAGAATGTGGCCTGTAGAATCCATAATTTCAAACAGTTCCAAGAGGGGGTACTAGTTTGAAAGTTACAGCCCTTTGAACTTTCTTTCGAAATTGGTTTCTAGCCTATAACTTTTGATTGAGAAGTCTAATCGAAAAAGTACGAATTGTTTTGGATTCTACGCACCAAAATTAATAAGAAAAAGTGTTTTCCCGAGAAATTTTGGTGTAGTCGATTTTTGGTAAAAAAGGAAGGTTTATACACTGATTTTCAACTGACTCTCATCACGTCTTTTCTTACTCCCTTCGGACTGCGCTTTCTTCTTACTTCGAGCATCCATATCCTTACTTTCTTCGATGTTCACCTTCTTGGAAACCCACAAACACCTTGAAGAATTATGATAAAACTCTCTTGAAGAAATCCTAAATATTCGCCTTTCCGATAATATTTGGCTACAAAGTGGATTACCTGTAATAGATGACGGATCAGGAGTTCCATATGCCATTGATATGGTATTTAAGTTTCTCCTGCGCATCAATCCTGAGGAAAATAATTCCACCGCACACTGACATTATAGACACAGATGTTAACAATACTATTGACTGTCTTTAAATGTCACTTTACTGACGAGTTTTGTATTAAATTTGACCGGAAATCGTATTTTAATATAAAATTTCAATCTTTATATATAACTTTTGGTTAATGTCAATCTGTCAGTGATGACAAGAGTCGCTATAGACGTTTAGCAATGTCACAGATGCGGCCGGTAAAGTGACAGGTGGCGGAAAAGTAGTCTGATCTGTCTCTGTCATGGAAACCAAACTTTCCTGACAGAAAGTAGGCATGAAAATGAAGGTTTCAGGACGATTTTGGGTAAAAGTTTATTTTTATAAACAATAGTGATATGACGTGACGACACGTTGACAATTAGCAAATCTCTCTATATTTTTTTTAACCAAATGCCATCTTTAATTACATTCTACATTCATAACAATGTAGCAACGTCTCTTTCATCATAAAATTTGATCCGTTATACAAATCATCTTCAAAATCTAGCATGGCGTTTGTGTAAATGGGGTTGAATCTCGTTTGTAATTCTAACTTTCAAATTTGATGCAAAAACGTTATATTGCACACCAAGTACCTTTATACTTCTTGCATTTCACCCTGTCTCTATTTTTGTTCTCGCCTCCATATTTCCATAGTGACTGCGGTATTATAATTGCTCGTTCAACATTTTTCCCTTGTTCCCTTGTTAATAACTTAATAACGTCTACTGAATATAAAGGTAAAGAGGGTTAAAAGTACCTAAATCGTTCATCATGCCCCCTTTTTATTAAACAATTGTATTAACAAATCCAGACACCGTTTTAACACTTTATTAACTGAAGATAAAAGGAACATATAAATTAGGAACGCCATAAAATTTGGTTATAAATTCTCCTTATTCTCTAGAAGAACTAATAAACCAAATCTTTAAAATGATAAAGTGCCTGAGAGTTTGATATGGTACTACGCTGATAACATCTTAAATAATTTCTCTTTGGTGCTCCGCTTTAGATCAAGGAACAACATTGCAACGTACCCAAAGATAATAAATTTTTGTTAAGATAAGATTGAACTAACGGGCACTGTGTCTCTTAAAGAAACACCCTATAAATAAGGGGAATAATATCCAACAAAATAAAATAAATTGCCCTATAAAACGGAATCTCTAACCGGAAATATTTTACTCTTGTACAAACTGAGAATTATGCCATAAATTTTAATAGCATATGGTCTTGTGCAAATTGAGCTTTAGAGGAAAATTGAAATGGGAAAAAGATGGCCCATTAGAAAACGATAACTCATTAAAGTTGTAGAATTATTTTAAAAACTGACATTTACTCAAAATCCGCATTGATTGAACCTCTAACGCACCTTGTAAGTTTTATCATTGAGTAAGAGCTTTCGGTGGTTTTATCTTAACTTGGGAAACTGTCTAGGCATTGCTATAAAGGGGTGGATGAAGAATGCGATAGTTTTGACTACATGACACTTAATGAGCCCTAAAGTTTGATTACTCCCTCACTGTGAACATTTCCCCACCATTTTCGGTGACAGTTGGGTAAGTGCAATTAAACATGAAACGCGTGATTGGTCGGAAATACGCATACATCTACCTAATTATCGTCAAAATTGAATCAACTGTAAACGCTTGAAGGCTCACACGACGAAATATAAATTAGAAATTTCGAACCTCCTTTCCTTTATTTCAGTACCTAGCGTTAATTAACATTTGTTTTGAATCATAGAGCCATCCATTAATTGCACCCTTTAGAAGACAATTGATCCACCCTAGGCGGAATTGAAAGAAAGAAGTTTAACTAATAACATAAAAACCTCATTCGCACTTTTAATCCTACAAGCAGGCAAAAGCAGAATATAAGAACAGCACGTAATCCAACCCACTACATAAAAATGTTAAGAATACGCCGAAAACTCTTTTAAGCTAAAACAAAATTGTATACTGCATCCCTTTACACGTTGAAGTGGATGAAATTGGTTTCATAAAAGTTAAACTGCTCAACTACCTACGTTAGGAAACATAAGCCCTTCTGTTTAATTAATTTCGGAACGTGCTTTTATGACAGTAGCGCAACTTTTTTTGGATATACCGATACCAACAGGGATTGTTTTCCTAAAATTATTTTTCTTATTTCAGATCACCACAGAAGACGTAAACATCGGGTGGCGAGCGGAAAAAGAGGTAAAGTTTATTTTTCATTATATTAGGTTTTGTGGTGGGGGGTCTGTATTTAGAAAGGAAGGAAGAGTAAAGATAAACGATCCTACAAAAAGAAATTAGCCAGTCATAATAATTGGTTGTTCACGTGGTGATTGTGCACATTAGACATGTTAAGCTCTACGTCAGGTCAACAATTTTGGTTTCGTTTGATTCTCCATCGCAAATTACGTGGTCGGTAATTTCAAAGAAGCAGCTTTTAATCTCGTTAATACTATTTAATTCGAGTCGTCCATCATAACTAGCAAAGGCACTTTAGGCTGATAGGAACAAGCACAAAGCTCGACCTTTCACAATTAAAGATCCCAAGATAAACTCACATTTGTTTCCACTAATGGCCGAAATAGAGAAAAATGTTCTTTTTTGTTTGAAAGTTAACGTTAAAGTTCTAATTGGAGTTTAATAACTTGTATAATTTTCAAATATTGCTAATTATTTGATTATCTTAAAAGCGTAATTTGTCTACGGAGTGCTTAGGTACATTACGTAACTTGTAAACTTTCCTTCTTTCGAGATTATAGTCGCAAACTTTCTGTATTTGCAAATAATTACCAAAATCTGTCGACGATCTGAGAGCACGACATCAAGGACTTTTGCAACTTTAAGTATTATTACAAACAAAATTTAATTACGGGTTTTTAATAGGTATGTATTACTTCTAAAAGATATGTAGGTACCTATTTTTCAAGAATGCCTGGACTACATTTACTTATAAAGGCAAAGTAGTAGCAATGTTGCCAGGAATATTTTAAATGAATATAGTAGTATAATGGAACGATTCTATGGGCGCCCACCGAACCGACTGCATTCTATCCTATCCTATCTTTTATTGGATTTTATTGGATCTTTTTGTGCTGAATTTTTTGATTAACAAATAATATCCAACTAAATTTTGTGGCCGTATCTGTAAAGTTTAATCTACTTCAGTTCGTCAAAATATTTCTTTGCCACGTCGAGACTCTGAAGTAAGACATTATTTTCGATTAACGGGAAAATTTCTTAAATTTAAATTCTCAATGGTTCTATACACCTCCGGATGGGAAAAAAATATTCTACGAGTTCACTTCATTTTTATATACCTACCTATATCCTGAACTTTTATCCATGCGCTTAAGTTTGAAAGTTGTTGGGGCTTTTGTATGACGATTTATTAATTGAACTTCTTTTCTGATTTCCTTCACTTCTGTCCGTACTTACCAAGTGCCACTTTAGAATGTTTTTCTTTTTTTGTATTCAATCATGAATCATATTCTAGAAAATATGGAGTAGAACCCTTCCTTATATAGTTTAACGTAATCTTCAGTTGCAGTAACTACATATTTTGATTGTAAATAATAATTCTTTATACTTATTTCTGTTTTCAAAGATGCAAAAAAAATATTTAATAATACCAATGCGTTATACATTTTCAAAATTATTATTTTTTTGTAATCATAAGTTGGTAATACAATATTTTTGGTTGGCAATATTAGTGTGTAACGATACCAACTAAAATAGCACTGGACACATATTAAACATTTGACATCTTGTGTAGTTTTTAAAGAATTACGTACAAAAGTCAACAATTGTAAATTAGTTGTTTTTCTAATCATGAGGTGGTAACACAATAATACGTTTCGTTGGTAACATAATTTTGTTACTACTTCTCACTTCTGAAAAATAATTTGATTACATTATACAGGGTGGTGACTTGCGTAACGCATCATATGGATTTCAATGTAAAATTCATAACATGCGATTATTGGCTCCCCAAATTATTTTAGAGCAAAAATGTATTCAAGTTTTTTGTAGAAGAATTTTTTTTACGCCAATCAACCGTATTAGTTTTCAATTTTTTTCATATAAAGACGGAAAATTGGAAAAATACAACCCGCATCTTTTTCAATAATCTGCTATGCCATACGATCTAGATACCCCGGATATATGTCTCAATTTTAAATGTCATTATTAAGATTAACCCAGTAATTGTTTTTTACTTTCCTTACTAGGGAGGAAAATTACATTTTCTTCACCCTTTTTCGAGACAAAAGTAGTTTTTTGCTAAAGTAGTTTCAGAAAAAAACGTTTTCGCGTGCATCGAGAATACATGCGGGAACATTATCTTTTCACACAATGAGTACAAAAAAACTACGTTGCACAGAACCGATAGGTTATCGTCCGCCTTTTACATTAATATACTATCTTTGGAAAAGAAAATTAGCTTTCTACAACAGAGCCAGTTTTTCATTCAGTGGATTGTCTAAAATGATTACCCGGTTCACATAAAAATTGGTAAATATATTGTATAGAGGAATTATTCATTTATATTTTTATATTGTACCCTTATTCGACTCTCCGGTTTTAACCATATTTAAAAGTAGAAGCTGTAGATTATTTTTGAATTTTTCAGAATTGTATATATCTAAAGTCAAAATTTTCACGTAAAAGACTTTGTTAGTATCCGAGTTTAATTGAGCTATTTGGACAGGTCTTTATTTGGGTGGCTTAGTTACCATTTGCAATATATAATATATTTTATATAATATATGATATATAATATCCTATCTTAATAAATGTACTTAGTTTATACTTCCATCATTCTCTCAACTCTTATTTAGATCGTACACAGTGTGTTGTAAAAACTGCGTATAGACTTGCATGTCTCCTAATGATACAGAGTCAACTTAATTTTACCAGAAATTAGATTTTACAGAACTGTTTCTGCCGAAGCAAAATACCTATCACGATGATTAACTGACATATACGGATATAACGGTCTACTAATTCAAATGGAATGCGTTTCGTTATCATGTTTCTCCTTTAAAACCAGAACCATAAACAAATTTTCATTTCAATGGTTTTGCAACGAAATGAAATGGAGATATTTATTAAGAGAATTAGATCACTTTCGGTATTGTATAATGTGATAAATGATGGCTATGTGTTGTACGTTCTCGAAAAAGTCACCTAAGCGACAACGGGAGCCGACGCAAAACTCCGCAAAGATAAATGAATCCAATGTGTATATTAATGACCACAGGATCTATCACCCGGAACCGTTATTTCACCGTATAAAATTCGAATATTTCCTTCACGAAAGGTAACGTAAAGATTTGTGATTTCTATGTCTATCACGTTCAGAAATTTGGCTTTTTTCTCTCGCACTCAAACCCTCGTCATATGAATACGAGTCATTGTACAAGGTATGAATTTGAGAGTGTGGAGACACACTAAAGGCTATAAAATTATGCCTATGGTACGTCAGGACATCATTTTTTAAAGGCGAAGGAAAAATACTAGCAAATTGGACAGCAAGCATGACGTTTACCGAAAAAGTACATTAGGAGCAAGCAGCGGAAGATTAATGAAACGTATAGCATAAGAAGATTATACATTCTTGGAGCAATATACCTTTCAAAAACGCAAAGAAATTGAGTTCGTTTAATGCTAAATAAACCGTACTAAAATTCTGTTTGTATGCACATTTTTGTCTTTATTGCCCGGGTGGTTGTAATTAGAGCACTTCGCATTTATAATTGCAAGAACAAGTGGGAGATAATACTCGTATAATTCAACACCCAATTTCTGGTTTTAAAATTACTGTGGTTACTGTTTTTTCTGAAAACCCGCCGCGTAAACGGCCATCTATCTCAGGGATGATAACGTATAACAGAGCATTAGATACTCCACCGTTACTAGTTTGTGGGGCATATAAAATCTCCGTAAGCTTCCTCGGGTCTAACTAAAAAATGGAGCGCCACTCAGTTTCTGATTGGAGCTTCCTCGTATGAAACTGAGAAGTATTCGAGGAGCGACAAAATACAAAAGTTCCATTTTCCCGCAACAAAATAATTGAGTGATTTAATTAAAATTCCCAAAAAATGTACAATAATTAGTCAACTTGTTACAAAATTAAACTTGACATCCCTATTTAATTCGTGACAAATAGAATTCCTCGAAATGTAAAATTATTACGACAAAATGGCGGTGATAATGAAAGTACCCCATACACTAAAAGAAGAAATTGCCAGCATAGGAAGATGGCTCTGTTCCGACGCTTCCAGCAATCCACATTATACAAAGAAAATAAACGAGAAACCACTCGGTAATTAAAATGATGTTTGGTTGGGGAGCCAAAATACTTGTACTCCGACCTACGACGATTGCGTTAATTACGTGTTGCAATCCTTGACGGAGAAGGCACAGTCAAATTTATACACCACCAAAATCAATTCAATCATCCATCAATAGGGTAGTGAAACTAAGTACTCTCCTTTCACTAATGACTTTGAGAATTCAAAGAAAATTAGCATTAGTGTTGTGGTGAAGAGGAATTACCCACTAGTTAACCTACTTAATTGATTGAAAGAAAGAAAAGTTAACATAAATAACCCAATTTCGTTATCTCCGTTGAAAGTCCTGTTGTCTCTAAAGTGCGGTCATTCTACACACGTCTACATTCCTCAAATTATTATACGCCGGATAGGATAAAATGCAATGAACATGTGCCAATGATAAATAAAATAAAGTATTTGAAAACCAAAACTAGATCTGAAACCCTCCAAATTAATAAGAGGGTTATTTAGGAAACAATAATACTAATACAGCAACGGTTGAAAATTAAACTTTACTAATGGAGAAGTAAAATATTAAGAAATGGAAAGCATCACAATAACTGTTTAATTGTGCAAATTTTCCCTAAACCATCGTCATATCTTCTATGGGTTTCCGAGATCCCCAGGACAGACAGTCTTATCTTGGTCACAATACATACAAAACGGACGTTTCACCCCAAAGAAGATGAAAAGGGATGGAGATTAAAGCTAGCTCTAAAATTGGCACATCTCCTCAATTCTTTAGGTTGTTACCTATTTACCTCATGTTAAGCCGATAATTGTTGATTGTTGACTGGAACGAACGTAATTTGTTGATATAATTATTCACATCTACTAGTAGATACCACGGAGATTTTATATGGTCAAAAT